TTTTTTTCCGTGTACTTACACACCAAACGTCATACACGTATTTTGATATTTTAGGCTTTTGCGGTGTCCATGCATATTAGATTTCGTTTCTGGGTTTGAACCACGTAGATTTTTCTTTGTTTGATTCCGACGTTTCGCGAACATTTCAGTCCGCTTTATCAGGGAGGAACGACCCGATCTAATAGTCATACACGTGATTCAACGTTTGTATGTACATTTATTATTAATATTAAAGCAATTATATATACATATATGCATCATTTTTTAAGTATAATTTATTCAGCGCTCTGGGATAGATTTCCTTAACTGCAACTTGTTAAGATTAAAAATTAAGCAAATTAGTGAGATTATATATGTAGAAGTTGTTAGAATGATCTTGGTTATAATGTCAACACACATGTGAGAGAAACGTCTGGTAATATTTGTCAAAGAAAAAGTTATTTTTTCCGAAATAAGGCAACTATACACTTCAAAGTGGAAAAAAAATTCGCTAAGAGAACGAGTAACCATCGAAAGAATCGTCGATATACGAGAGAAACTCTACGAAAAAGAGGCACGACATTGCTGAGAGTAAACGGGATGGGTGGTTTCGTTGGTATATCGAAGATGCTGATAAACAAGCAAGTTGGCCGGATAGTTTTGCAGTTTGCAATTGGATTTTATTTAGATTATCTTCTAGCCGCTAACTTAGCCGGTATCGGAGATAACGGAATCGGCGACTCGGTCCCGTTATTAAACGATGCAATAAAATGGAGTTATAATTCGGCGGAGTATAACTCGAGGTAGTTGCGCGATATAGAACCGACTTCCCGACAACTGTGCTTTCTTGAGTGCGTCCTTTTTTAGAGAGGAAAAGAGAGACACGCGAAGCGAATGAAAATAATTAATATTCCACTCTGATAATCGATACTTGGTGTTTCATATGGCAAGATTCTCCATCTTTTTTATATCTAGTTCAAACCTCATATATTCGCAAAAAATGTTCAAATTTGCGAATTTTGCTCCCGCATCGCACAAAAATGGCCGATCTGATTAAGATTATATACTTATTCTTGATCCCTACCATATTCTTTGTAGCAAAATAGCAGTAGCAGATTACATATAAGATTTTGTTATTACTAGCATCGCATAGAGAATTTAATTGAAAAAAATAATTGAAAAATTTAATTGAAAAAAATAGTTTATACTTGGCCATAATTTATATGATAATTACTTCTCTATGGGATCATAGTTACAAATATCAAGCATTTGTTTCTCAGTGGTACGTCGAATAATTATCGTGAGTACATTACACGACAATTCGAACGATAAGAAAAAGCGGCGCGATAAATTCATATATTTTAGTAACGAAAGATCGGCAGTCCTACATAGGAAATTGCGACAAATGAAATTTTATAGAAATATCTAGACAGAACCGAGAGAGCGCAGAGTAATGGAGTCTTATTTAGATTAAGTTCTTGCCGCGAAATTGGTTGGAATCCGAGATTACCGAGTCGAGAGAAACAGAGGGAACCCGATTCGGATATGAAATATTATAGAGAATCGAGACGATTATCAGAATGATGATAATCGGAATATTAATTCTGATGTCGAGTTTGAATCGACAGGAGATCGCGGGGAATTTAGTAGTCACGGATCACGGTATAATTATTGAGAATGATTATATATATATATATATATATATTTTTTTTTTTAATAGTTTTAAATATAAATTAAATTAAATATAAATTAACAGCAAAGCAGAAGAAATAATCGCGGCAGTCGGAGAGACATGCGTTTCAAAGGCAGGTAGGGACATTCGAAGACTCTCAACAAAGGGCTTGATTAACATTTTCATGACGAGCATGCGTCGTTCTAACTCACATGTATGGAAATCGCGGAACGTGCGAGAGGCAAGTCGCATAATCAATCTCAATTCGCATTGGAATTCTCGCCGCGGGGCGATTTGCAATTGCATAAAACACACTTGGCTGTCGAATAATCCAACGTTATCTCCATCCGCGTGTACGCCGGTACGGGGGTTGCCAGCTTCAAACATATAGAAAATATTCACTGGCATCATCATCGGCATTCACGAACATTTCGCTGCATTCGTAATTATAAGGCGCGACATGTTTGATGGAAGAATAAAAGAGAAATAGATAGATAAATAGATAGATAGATAGATAGATAAGTAGATATAGAGAAAGAGAGAGAGATATATCTAGTATATCCTTTATTTATAAGGTACTTTAGGACGTA